CACAAATTCTATACAGCAGCAGCAGCTTATCACCAGAACACTGTGAAGGCTTCAGACTCCTGCCCTGGGGTTTTGGTTTGGGGATTTTTTTTTCCTTTTTTCCCTTTTTAATATTACCTTGAGACATCAGTGGTGTGCAGGAAAGAATGTTTGTCCAGTTACCATCACCCCTGTTTCTATGTCAGGCTTTCCTAGAGTCAAAATAAGGGTTTATATCTAAGAAAATTGATCATATAGTAAACACCTAACCTGAAGAATTGAAGTGTTCGTAATACCCGCCACTGTTTGTATGTCTGCTGTGTGCTCTGTACTGATTATTGTGTGCGTAGAGCGTCTAACATGTGTCTGCAGCATGGTGTGTGATAACTTGTTTTCAGTTGTCTTGATACAGTTATTTATGCAAATAAATATTTATTGCCTATCCTGTTCTCAATTTTTTGATGATCATTATGGGTGGCATGTTAATTTAGAAAATAACAACTTCTTCTAGGGTTAAGTACACTTGGTTTTTTTTTTTTATTTTCCCATGTGGTTTTTTTTTTTCTTAAAATTATTATAGGCATTGATTCACCCATGAAACTTGAAAGTTTAACTGACATAATACAAAAAAGAATTGAAGAGACGAACGGACAGTTCCTCATTGGTCAGGATGAAGAGTCAGCACCACCTCCGTGGGCCGCAGTCTTTGATGGCAGTCATGAAATGGTTATCCAGAAAAAGGTACTGTCCGCTGCAGGAGAACAAGCCCCAGATGGGAGAAGGAAAAAGAGGCGAGCACCCCTTCCTCCATCGGGTCAGCCACCATTCAGCATAAAGACGCAGGGCAGCACAGGTCCATGCCTCGGGGACGGCGGGGCAAAGACCAGTGTCTCTGGAACCTCTTCGGACTCCAGGCCCTCCTCGCTGGTGCACCACTTCCAGAAACCAGTTGCTGCACCTCGCACACTTCCCCCTGGCCCTGCTGGAAAACGCAGTTCAGCTGATGGTGAGCACAGAGACGCTAAAACCAGCTTCCAGGCCAAGCCCCTGCCAGCCCCAAGGCAGAAATCCATCAAAGACATTCTGGACCCAAGATCCTGGCTGCAGGCTGTATAGGCAGCCTGGACTGTGACAATCTGTTACTATAAGGCTTAATTCAGAGACCTTATAAACTAATGCTACCTAAGTGTATATGTAAATATGACAGCCGTTTACACAAGCCATTAATAAGCTATTAGGTATAGAAAAACACTTTATAATGAAAAAATGGGTTTCTCCTTTACTTCTAATTTCCAGAATATAAGTGATTTTCCCTCATGGAATGGAAGAGGCAGTTTCTAGACAATATCCTAATTGTTTAAGGATTAATTTATTCCTAAATTAGTACCAGGCAGTGAATAAGCACTCGGCATAAGAAAGCATTACCATTTCTTCTGGAGAGAGACTGTCTAGTAATTTAAAATGTGTTAAATACAAGCCATATTCTCATTGTGAGAATTTTAATGCTAATAGAATGTTTCAAAGGTTTTATTCAAACCACAAATTACAGAATCCACCCCAAAAAATTTCCCCTCAGTTTTCTGGAATCTCATCTAATGGTTGCTGACTCTCTCCTCTCTCGTTTAGCACACTGGTTTATAGTCTTGACCTTTTAAATTCCTGGGATAAATTTTGGAATATGAAGTTCTTTGTCTTTAAAGGGAATGTGTCATCTGCTTTCTGAGCTGTTTCCTTTATGATCTCTGAAATCCTGTTGACGCTGCCTCTCGCAAGTGAAGCTCATATTTATTAGTGGAGAGAAATGAGGATGAGCTGGTCAGGGCATCACCTCTGCTGTGCCTCCTGCTAATTCCTGTTGTGCCTTTGGAACTTGGGGAAGCGAGTGGTGGCTTAACACCTTAAAAATCTCCTTAATACTTATTTTAAAAGCAGATGGCAGATTCAAATGTATCAGAAAAGTTGGCCATGGTAATAATAATTTTCAGAATTAATCCTTTTTCAAAATTTTAATTAGATTTCCTTTTGCAAGTGAGGGTTGATGTCTGCTATTGATATTATTCATTAAAAGTCATTTTCTTACAATAATCACATTGGAATCATTTCCATAGGAGGTAATTTCCATAGCAACTAATCACAGTGACCCAAACAGGATTATGAATTCAAGTGAGGGACAACAGCAAGAGGATGAATATCTTAAGTGGACAAAAGTGAAATCCACTTTTTATAATGACCTTTCTGTAAATAAGAACGGAGTGGTTTTAGAAACCTAATCCCAGTTTCCCAGTGAAACTTCCAATGAGTGTGAACTACAGCCCAGACCATTTCGAATCATAGCGATCCCTGCCAAGCTGCTGGGATCAGAACTGCACGATTATAAACTGAACAGTTGACTGGCAAGAGTGTTAAGTTAACGTAGTAGAGCCTGTCATTATTGTTAGATAGCAGTAGCACTCTTCCTGTTTGTTTTTGTTCATAGACCCTGGTGTAACTGCCAGGTGACTTGCTTGCCCAGGACTCCCAGTAAGCACTGGACCCTGGGGGAGCAGACACAAGGTCCCTCCCTGACTGGGACACCAGGGCAGACACAGCCCTTGGTGAAGAGAAGATGCTGTGTTGGTACAACCAACCACAGGTGTGGAAACCCCAAAAGTAGATTTGTTTATTCATTTATTTATTATTTTATTTATTTTTTTTTGTCTTTTTGAGACGGGTTCTCCCTGTAGCCCAAGCTGTCCTGGAACTCACTGTGTAGACCAGGCTGGCCTTGAACTCACAGATTCACCTGCCTTTGCCTCCTGAGTGCTGGGATTAAAGGCGTGTGCCACCACGCCCGGCTATTTGTTTTTGACTAAAAGGCTCTCAAAATTTACTGTTACTATTGCCATTTCAGTAAATCAAAAAGTCTAAGGAACATTATTTTTAAGGTTTTTGTTTTCTTAAATCTTCACTGTCTTCAACAGTGTTTGTGAACAGACTGGAGTTTCCACCTCTTTTATCTTTTTGTTCCACATTTTTGTTGTTGTTGTTGTTAGAAGATGCTGTAGGTAAAACTGCTTCTGGTTACTGGCATCTAAGTGTCTCTTTTAACCCCTTAGTTGGTGCCCTCCTTTATTACAAACTTACAAACCAGTATTAAAACTTGCACATTATGGTGTGACCATGTCGTCTCATGCAAATTGTAGCAGGAAGAATTTAAGTTGTACAGGAAGGAGTTTATTCATGGAGAATTGTGGAGCAGTTGTGTTCTCCTGTGGGGACCTTGAAACAGCTCAGGAATCGGTCTCCTTCCTAGCGTCCTCTGGGTGAAGAAGCCCTGCCCCACCCCCATCTGTTTCTGGAGACCTGTCTTAAAATCAGCCGGATTCCCACTCATCATTCTTGGACCACTGTGCTCAGTCAAAGCTAGTGCACTGCCTCGCCCCCAACTCCTCCACCCGCACCCCTGACAAAGCAAGAGTAGTTAAGACACTCTTCCTCCTCCCTGTCCCTCCCTCCTTCCTTCCCCTTCTCTCTTTCCTTCCTTCACAATTTTAAAAATATCTGAAAATACTGAGTTTAAAACTGTCAAGGAATTTGTCCAAAGTATTTGTTTCTCCTTTTCTGAATCAGAACTTGATGGCAGAGGGATCTGCCGTGTGCTGAGAAGTTCACAGCTTTTTAAGAGCGGCTTTCCACCACACTCACTTGTCCTTTCAGTTCGCTGTGAGCTCTCAGATCTTGATAAAATTATAGTCGAAGAAGCTTAATAGAAAGAATAGATATTTTATGAGATTAGATAATTTTGAAGATGGGAAGATAATGTCTTGGGTAATTACATTTACATCTTAAGATCTAGGATTTAAATTACAGTAGCATTTTAAGAGATTATTTTTAATTGCTACAAAGTGGTAATTTCCTTATTTTAACATCTTGCAAGGAGAAAGAATAATTTTTTATTAATTTTTTTATACTTTTCAAGCTAAACAGTCTTTCAAAAGGACCAGGCCTGCCAGCTCTTGCAGAGTTTTGTGGACTCTCCCCTTAGCTGTCTGCACTGCCCCCCCCACGACTTCTTTCAAGTAGATGTGGCTGTAGGTGGAAAACTCAGTTATTCATTGTAAATGTCCATGTCTACCCTTTAGATTAAATTATGCCTCACCTGCTATCAGTTATTAAAAATGGAAACTGCCCTGGTTTGGAGACGAGGTTTAGAGACAGCCCATGTAAGGAAAATTACACTGTCAACGTCTTCAGGCTTATGTTCAACACCTCAGCTACTTAACTGGGAGGTTAATGAATTCAGTCCACAATGAAACTATGGGAACATTTGGTGCAGGTTATGTTAAATGCCATTCAATGTGGAACTACAAATGAGGAACAGCCAAATTAGATGATGCACAAGCAAAGGAGAAAACACTTCTGCAAGAAAAATATGTCACAGTGGTCAGAATTTGCCAGAACTCATTGTTCTAGAGTGGATTATTGGACAGTAATTAAGCTTTGACTGATGACCATTTGCATTCTGTTGCCTCTGTGTTCTGATACCTTTCAAAAGCATTGCTATTTTTAAAAAATATTTTATTATTTTTATGTGTATGCGCTTATTGCCTGCATGTAGGTAAGTGCACCCGTGTCTTGCAGTACCCGCAGAAGACAGAAGAGGCTGTCAGATACCCTGGAACTGGAGTCATGGACAGGTGTTAGCTGCCATGTAGGTGCTAGAATTTGAACCTGGGTCTTCTGCAAGAATAGTCAGTGTTCTTAACTGCTGAGCCATCTCTCCAGCTCCCAACATTGCTATTTTTAAATATATTTAGTTCTTGGTACTGTTTTTAATGTGCATGTGTGTATCTGTGTTTGTATGTGCACCACATGTGTGCAGTACCCACAGAAGCCAAAAGAGGGCGTCAGATCCCCTGGAGCTAGAGTTTCAAGCAGTTGTGGGTGGTGCAAACTGAACCTCAATCCTTTGGAAGAATAGTCTCTCCAGCCCTGCACTTTTACATTTCTGCCTTATTCCAGGGCTTTTGCAACTCATTTCCCAATAGTAGAGACTGCTCTAAATGTCTGGTTTCAGACAGATTCATAGCACATGATTGGGTGGGAGGGGTAACTGTCTTCCCCTCAGCCTGTAGGGGTCTCTTAGGGTTCAAACCTTCAGCTGCTACTGGTTCATTCAGAGGACACACCTATCCAACACTCCACCCCTTCCTCCGGCTCTCACAATCTTTCTGCCAATCTTCCACAAGAATCCCTGAGCCTTGGAGGGGATGACAGATACAGGACAATCTTTTATTGTGGTGAGATATTGAACTCCTGGGCTTCCCCATTATCTGTTTTCAAGACTTGGCTCTTGATCCATCTCAGTGGTGTCTCCCCTACTATAAAGACAAATGAAAAGAAGCAGAAACATCTAAACAAATGGGTGTAAATACAAATGTCTAGAAGATACCCCAGCAGGTGTACCATATTAATTAAATAAAACACTTGCAGCCACTTCCCCACTGGGGCCTATGGCCTTCCTTGACACAGGGGGTTGGCCTGGTCTGCAGCACCTGATGTGTACGCCCCTGGGAATGGGCCTTATCCAATTAGGAATTTGTCAGTTGTACATATGTTAGTTGAGCCATTATTGCACCAGCAGGCATTGCTTGGTATGTCAATCACATGCAGCACGTGAGGTCCATTGTTGAGCAGAATCATAGGGGACTTTTTTCCCCCAACCATCTACATAGCGCCTTCTGGCACTACAAAAGCCATGCATCCAGTGGCATGGAGTTTTCAGCTTAGTCTCAGCTCCATCTCACTCTCTCCCATGCTCACATCATGCAGGGTCTTCAGCAACATGGCCTTACCGACCTTTCCTGGTGTACAGCCAACATTAGTAGCAATAGCCTTGGTTAATTTGAGGACCTCTAAGATCTCTCTGACCAAAGGCTCATCGGGGGAGGCAGGGCTAACCCACCCCTGGTTCTGTAACATTTGTACAGTTTTGGGAGCCTTTATCTTTATTTTCGTATAGGATTAGGCTGTTGTAGTCTTCTTCCAACCATTCTGGTGGGTATCATTTGTGTCTTACCCAACCATAAAACTCCCAAGAATCTTACAGCTGTAGCTGGCCTTTGTTTCTTCAGGTGTACTTGATATCTCTCAAATGGGTTTCACATCTGTAAAACACTCAGAGGTTAACGTTATATATTAAATCAAACAGACAAGGTCTAACACAGCATGGAAAGGTTTTATCTATTTGTATTGTTTTCTCAACAGATCTCTTGGGTACCATAGAATGGATCAGAGGCAGTAACTTGGTTAGTTCTTTACTCTCTTCAGTTATCCCTCTGGAGTCATTCTGCATTCTGGGGATTTCACATGTAGCCTCTCTGTATCTTTTATCCTTGATACATTTACAGGTGCTGGCTCAAGTTGCCTGACCCTGTACCAGGCTAATGAGGCAGAGGGTCCGTCTTATCCCTGCTGCACCTGTTGGTTCCCCAAATCAGGTAGGTCCTGGGTCTGCCTCCTGGCTGTAGCCATATCTGCTGCCTCTCCATTGACCATACCTGGCTTCTGGTGGAGGCCCTGGTGGGAAAAACTGCCTCCACCTCTAGTATAGCCTTTCTCAGGAGAGAAATGTACCTGATTTAATCTTTGGGGATCCTTAACCACCCCTGGGATGAATTTTATCCTCTAAATGCTTTTTGTGAACTGTTTTTCAGGTTTTAAAGCCTTCCAGAAACTCCTTAGTACAGAATTTTTTTGTGTGTCAATTTTTTCTTTAGGAACGTGGACTAGACATAACTCTTGCCACATTTATCTTCAAATGACCCAAATGGACATCTTTTTCTGCCTTGTCTTTTTTTATATCTCTTGTAGGTTGTTCTGTTAGTCTACAGACACGTTTTACACACTGGTTTGAGCCACTTAGATCTGCCAAAGCCTCTTTATAAAGATCCTGCCCCATTAAGGGACTTAGCAAAACCATTAAAGCTCCATACCATTCTCGAGGTCCCTGCCAAATTAAGCTTTTCTTTGTATCTTTGATGAACATAGTCCTATCTGGCCTAGCAAACTGGGCATCATCTGTTTATTTCCTTATACCTAGTTCTCTATACATCTGTCCCTCCTCTATGGTCCTTCAGCCCCTGCTAACCATGGGAGCCTCTATTGGTGATGACCAAGTATCTTTAATACCTTGCACAAGCCATTTCATTGGGGACTGCTCTCCCCTGTATTGGCCTAGTTAAACAGCCTATGGCTCAAGGATGGAGGGTTATGTAACTCAGCTATAATGCTTCTGAAGGACTTAAACTATTATCATTTGCTCCCATGACCCATATCCTCACAAGGCATGTGGTGAGGGGCTCCGTTATTGCTTGTTTGAAAGTCTTTCCTAGCCCCAACAGCTGCAGTGTGGAGTATTTTATACTGGCTACAATATTGTTAAGGCTTTTATCAGCACGTTTAAATATGTCTTTTTTCTCTTTTTGTATTAAAGGTTGAATCTGAGAGGCAGCTTTAGCTGTTTTTATTTCTAGGTTGTTCCATTTCTTAGTACTGTCTGTCTTTCCATGGGTCTCTGGACTCCTGGTTCCAGATGAGCCTTGTATCCCAGATCTAACCTGGGCTCTCTTTTCTTTTCGGTTCCTGAGCCTTAAGTTAAAATCTCCCGTTCCCTTTCCTCTCATGCGGTTTACCTGCCAGTTCTGAGGACAATACTGAATTCACCAGGAGCTCCTCCCTGGTCTTTTCAGTCTCCCTGGGGTTGTTGTCTTGGCCTCAGACAAGTCTTTTGTGCAAAAAAAAAAAAGGCCAGGTAGCCTCAGTAGCCACTTTTTTCCTTTGATTTCCATTTTTGTTTCCAAGGCTTGTAAATTTTTTTCTAGACTTTCCACTGTCCTTAAAGAATTTTCATACATGCCTGGCCACCACCATCATTCAAGCAACTGTGCTTTTTTATGCCATTTACAGGGTGGCGGCCACCTGGGGATTTCCCCCATTGAATTCATCCATGTTTGCATAGGCAGCCTCATTTTAATTACCTATTATACTATCCATCGCATAATCCATGTGATGGCTGCTAACCCTAGTAAGCTTATGGGGATTGCCCACACTCTCCCCTCCCCCAACTTTGCTTCAGCCTTTTTCCATATCAGAGACATCATCTTTCCAACCTCCTGTGTATCCTGCCGCATATCCTGCTGACTACACCGATTTGTAATACCAAATTCTCTTCTGGGGGACCCATGCAAGCTCTCTCAGCTCCCAGGACTACACTGTCCTAACACCTGACCTACAAAACCAACACCATGCATTCCATTCTGGGTTTTGTATAAAGTTTATGATGTCTGAAGGAGAGTTACTTACAAAGGCATACATTCATGTGCTCTTTCCCCTCCATTTCGGCTGAGCTTTTTGAGATCTGCCACTGCCAGCACCCAGCCAGTGCTATGCCCGTATCCCGCCAAGATGGAGATGCTCCACCACTTTCTGGCTTCCTCCGCGTTTGTCCTTAGACCCTCCCCTTCATGCAATTGAAGCTGACTGATTGGGTGGGAGGGATGACTGTCTCTCCCTCAGTCTGTGGGGTCTCTTAGGGTTCAGACCTTCAGCTGCTACTGGTTTATTTGGACGACATGCCTATCCAACTCGGGACTAGAGCCTCATCAGAAGTTATCCAGAGTGAGCGTGCCTCCTTCCCCCAGGCACTAACAGTCACAGTAAATGTGAATGCAACACAAACATATGAGAGTTCTGTCAGGCACAGCACCTCCAAACTCCTTCCCCTGGCAATGTGGCTGCTCGATGACATCTCTCAGCACTAAATTCTGAACTACAAATCTGTCTCCATCATAGGAATATCTGGCCTGTGATGTTAATGATGTGGTGATGCTTAGTACTGGGCAGAGAGGGGGGATTTTATGCAAACCTGACTTGACCAGGCTACTGACGCACGAATAGAGATGTGAACAAGAGGAGGTCCATTCCATCCAGCAACATTGGAGAAGGGGAAGTGGTGTTTGAACCAGATCTTGAAGTATGACTTGACTTGGTCTTCACTGATTACATTTCATAAAGTAGAAAGCTACAGTTGCTAACATAAGCCAAAGGTGGGGGAGATGACAGAGTGGGAACAGTAGGATGATTTATTGAGAACCCGTTGGATTTGCCCAGAAGGTTGAAGAATGCCCATCAAAGTTTGGGCATGACCTCAAGGGTCCTGAGCAGTATAAAGCCCAAAATTGTGAAGTGTCTTGTCATAGCTTGTTAGGACAGATTTTTTTTTTTTTTTTTTTAAAGTGTGACTGGGCAGTTAAGATTAAGTACTGTTCTTGCAGAGGACCTGAGTTCAGTTCCCAGAACCCATGTTGAGTGGTCTGTAAACACCTGTAACTCCAGCTTTAGGGGAATCCCATGCCCTCTTCTGGCCTCTGAAGGTGCTGTAGTCACATATGTGTACCAACCTCACACAGACACACACATATATACATAATTTAAAAATAAAAAAATTAAGACTCGGCAGTACAAAATCTATCACAGAACCTGATTGTCCAGGCCTATGGTTCTCAACCAGGGTGATTTTTTTTTTTTTTTTTTTTTTTAGCCCACAAAGAACATTTGAATATCTGAATATTTGGGTATCATAACTGGGGGAGAAAATGCCATT